TTATTACTTTCTCTAACGTAATTAGAAAATCTTTGGTTTTTTAAAAATAATATTACAAGTAACTTTATTTGATTTTAATCATCTAGAGCTGATAGTGAATCTATTGAACTTAACTCTATGATAAATCTCTTTGTGAAAAATGTCAAACAATTTAATTTTTTTTATGTTAAATTTGCATTGAAAAATATTTACTGAATCTTAATACAAATTTCTTTAAATAGTGCTAAGCAACCGTTTACTTACAGTAAGCAAATATTTGCTCAATAAAAATAGTAATAAATGAGTATTAAAAAATAATAGTTAAATCACACATAGTATATAGTTTACATTTAGTAAATATTTACTTGAACTATTCAAACAAATATTTATTAAAATTTAGTATTTTTTTAGTCTGTAATTTCAGATTATTTTTATTAAGATACATTTAGTGTTAATTTTTTTATTTGAATCATACTATTTTGACTGAAAATAAAAACTATAATTAATTTCAATCAAAATAGTATAACTCGAATATAAAAACAATTAACACTATGTATATGTTAATAAGAATAATCTAAATTTACACACCGAAACCGTAAATATTTTCGAGTATCTGATTTGTATTACAAATTTTAGAATATTAAAAAGTTGCAACGATTAGTTTTTACATAAGTCTACCAAAGAAATTCGAAAACGCCGAAATGTCAATCGTTTGATGGGATAAAGATGAAACTTTCTATGCATTTACCAACGATATTTACGTATCATATCGTTCAGGAATCAATCGTCTGGAACAATGTGGTTAAGTGTCTTTCTTCGCTCGCTTGTGGCTCGATTTGGCATTCATACAACTGCATAATTGCTGGCACGCGTATATTCTAACGCGTATATTCAGTTCCAACAGTTTTTTTTTCCTTTTATCTTGTAATCGGCAAAATCGCGGACGATCGAGTCGTTTCTCCTCTCGGCAGATGCGTGATTAGCGTATTAAAATACTCCGCGGTATGCTTGTCACGCACTACTCAATTCCTGCTCTATTTATCGCTTACCTACATAAAGATAATACTTAATAATTTCTATGTCTTGTTCTATAGCATGCTCGCGCGAGACGCATCTATTCGTCGATCATGCATGTCGAGATCATGCATATACGCAAGAATGGGACGCGACTTATCAATTAGTGTCTTACTATAATTCTCAAAATGAATTCCAGTAAACTTTGCTGACTCGAGGAAAAAGAACATATCGATTTCTTTCTGCGTTTTAGTTTATAAATATGTATAAATATACGTATAATTTAAATGCTGCAAAAATACTAGCTGTCAGTCACTATTTCTTTTATGGGTACAATTAAATTAAATTTATGTAAAAATATGAAAATATGAAGAAAATATAGGGGATAAATAATATAATAATAATAAAAACGTGAACATCAAGAAATATATTATATGTTTTATTAATAAGATGTTGGCCTACCATTTGCAATGTTTAACACAGACTCCATTTTTATTGGAGTAAAGTCATACACGCTTGAATAGTAGCAACTGCTACAGTGCAGTGTTATATAATTTTTTCTAGTAAAACATCTTTCAATTCCTTAAAAAATATCGAAAAAGAATATCTGTTTCTTAGTCTGCACTTCAAAATTACAAATGTTTCGTTGATATTTAAATCAAGCGATTTTATTGGCCAGGAAATATATTGAAGTTTTGAACAGAGAGTATAATTTTAGAAAATAGAGTGAAAAGTAGATTTTTCTCTTCCAATATCATTTTATAAACAACTCAAAATTCTATTAAAATAACATTCCACTAGTAATTGTTTTAAGCATTATGTGACTTTATTCCAACAAGGATAGAACATATATTAAAAACAAGTGACGTGCCAATTTCTTATTAATGAGATATTATATAATAATAATGTTACATTTCCTATTATTTATAGTATTTACATTATATTTTGACTATCCTTTATATAACACGCGGTTTGAATTAGAGAGAGAAAATATTGTATAAAAGCTTATCTTGTTCAACACGGTTGCCTTTTTCCTCGAGTCAGAGATTTATCGAAAATTCTTCTTGCACTGGAAAAAAAGGCTTGCATTAATTGGAATTTTAGTTGAAAATGGACAAATCAGAATTTTCTAGTTGAATCTATTATAATAATTATAATTGAGATATAATCGGAATTCGAATTGATACGCACGATAAGAATCTTCTGGTTTGTTCATTTTCAATCAGAAATTTTTCTCAGTGCAAGATCCCCGATTGTGTAGGATCCTCCGCGATTTCCCGTCGCTCGTACTCGATCAGGCCCTTACTATGCACTCTCTAAGCTTATAGGTTTTCTTCGAAAATATCGCCCTTTTATTATTTTTTTAAATATTTTCTCTTTTTTATCTTTAAATTATTTCCCTTTCGGCGAGACGCTTGACGCCTAGTAATTAGGTACGATTTGCAATTCCACTACGGTAATTTTCATACCATAATACTATATGTACATGTATAAATATGTGTACCATAATGTGTACGTGAGTAATATACTTCTTAAGCCTCAACAACGGTTTGCAATGTTAACAAGTCGACACCATCGGTCTCGATCTCGGTCAAGATCGTCGTTAATTCCGCCTCGATGACGATCATCGACGCACTTCGGCTATACTCGACAGTCAAAAAAATATTATTATTAACCTTATCTCGGGTCACGATATATATATGTCGTACGTACGAGGAGTTTTAAAAATTACATCCTTTTTTATTTGATATTTTTAATATCAAATATTTGATCCACTTTTATCTTTATTTAATATTTTAAATATTAAATATCGATTCATTTTTGTTTAGATTCTAACCTAATTTTCATTACAGACATTACAGGATAAACGAAACAAATATTAGTAATTTCTAAATATTGATAGAAAAACTGACCACATCTTTGGCAGATTGATCTATAAAAAGAGATAACGGAATGTTATTTATTTTTTAATTGATTTATTTTTTCTCGTTGTGAAATTACGTTTAGTTACGTTACGATTAAATTGGAGTCGAGTATTTGTTTGTAAATATATCGCATGCCCGAGGGGTTAAAATCTTCTAACATATAACTGACAACGCAACAAACGAACAACGCGTAACGTCCTAGTGACGTCTGATCAACGTCTACTAACTACGTCAACGTTAATCTATACAGTATAACATTTAACAGACTATTAAGCAATATTAGGCGCGATTTCGAGGACCAGCCGAACGACACCTAATCACTCGAATTAACGAGAATCTTGATCAACAGGATTATATTCGAGAAGTAGAAGGAAGTTATTTGAAATTATCTCAATTTCTCGTAATTATTAAATACGTGTCTATTAAAAATTCCCAAATTAAAAAAACATAACGAAAGGATTCGCATTATAATAACAAATTATTAGATTTTTACAACGTCTGTTTTTTCAAAAAACAATTAACAAATCGAAAACAAATTTTAGAACGCCTGTTTTCCTAAATAATAATAATCAACAAGTTAAAAACAAATTTTAAAATAGTTCCTTAAACAGAGAATAAAATTTGACGCTGTTTTACAATACAAATTTTACATTTGTTTCATTTTAAAAGTGAACTTCGTATCCATTTGATCCACATTTGATGGAATTTAATTTCCTCTGCATTTCGCCCTGTATTATTTTATTTATCCACCACTAAAAGTTGTGCATATTCGCAACTTTTTACAGCTCGCTCAATTTCTCCCGATATAATGAGCTTCCGAGCTTACATCCTTCTACCTTTCGGATAGAAATACCACCAGTAACTCTCATAATTAATCAACGGCGCAATTAATCCTGACTGATCGAGTCGGCGCGACTTCGCGCCATCGTAATACGGATTTCACGCGAATATATAATATTTGTGTTGAAACGTGGGTGTAATGTGAATGTGTCTGTGAGGTAATCGTTCACGCAACTACACCATGTGAGCATGTAGGTCCGCCCTTCTCTCGTTGCACTTTCTCGCGCATTTCGCTGAATTTATCTCCCCTTTCTTCGATCCCTTATCGAATAGTAAGCTTTATTACATGTAAACGATTTACTTTAGTTAGTTTGGCACATTGCGCGATTCTTCCGTCCATTTTCCCTTAAGTAGCCTTGAAGTAATCACCGACGTAACGATGCGATCGTTGAAAAATAAAATATATTATTCCGCTTTTTTTTCTCTGCGCTTTATTTTCAGGGGATAACAGCTCTCGCGTTGCATTTCATCATATCGAGCCGCGTTTACGTGGTTAAATGGACGATGGTCGCGCAATTAATTGATAAACAGTTCTGTGACTGGAAATCCGAGAACGACGTTGCCAGAGACCATCCGAATGTACTGTCCCGGTGCTCTCGAAGTATATCGGCTATTTGCTTCCTATCGAACTGCGTTTTGTTACAAGAGGTATGTACAGCGGTAATGTATTGTATATATACAGTAATGTGACTTTCTCGCGGCAGTCTCGTGCCGATTTGTGGATTTCGCGCGCTTGAAGAGAAAAGTTCGAGAGAGCGGGTTGCGACTCCAGCTAATTTAGCACGAGAGTCCAGGAACTTTCCAGGATCCTTTGTCCCATTAATCACGTGATTTTCGCACGTATTATTATATAACGCGGCCTTCCGAAGGGCCCTTCTAAATCAGGATCTGGCAACGCCGGCCTGAAATCTCTCCGGGCGTCCTCGCTTCTTCTCTTTTCGAAGTGTTGTCTTCGAGGTGTTGTTTCGTCAGCGGGGTGAAGTGAAGTTCCCACCACCAGGGCCAGGTTAATCAATTAGCAGCTGACCGACAGCTCGGTCGTCCGAATCGAGAAACTCGAGGGAGATCGTTACTCTCTTCGAGGAAGGTTGTTTTTCAAAGTCGGATCTTTGGGAGATTTGATTGACGATCCGTCCAATCTCGACCGGATTAACGGCGGTGACGTTCAAGCGGGATCGCCGCCGACCGAGCTTTGGTCAGGTTGGGCTATGGTGGTTCCGGCTCGGAGGTGGGAGATTCCTGCTACGCCTCCAGGAAAATGAGCGCCGTCGGCTTCGGCTCGAGGTTGCTCTTCTTCGCCTCCACCACCAGGAACTCGATCTCGTTTCGGTCGCGGCGTGCAAATGACTCCGCGATCAGCCGCGCGACCTCTTGATGGTGAAGTCCTACAAATAACGTAGAATTAATAATTGCTCAGAAAATTAAATTTAGTAAAGAATTAATTCAATCGATTATGTTGATGTGATGTAAAGACTGGTTGTTAAAAAATTGGTATCAATTTAAAACTAATATATATATTTCTATTTAATTATTTTATACATATTAAATTATATTGTAAATCAATAAATTTTATAATAATTGATAGAGTAACATTTTTTTTTAACTTATTCTTTACGAAACTTGAAAATCACAAATTGTTTTAGGTATATTATTTTTGAAGTAAGGATACGATATTATTATTGATTTAAACTAATTTTTTAAATTCTCTGTGTCGGCCATGTGGAATTTTGTACCTTTCGTCAGCAATCTGGGTCGTTGAGCTTCAATACATATTTTTATATTGTTTTGAACCGTATAAAAATCTGAAGTTCTTGCATATATTTGTCGAAGCTTTATCAACGAGTTTTTATCATCACTATTGTTTTTACATGAGAAAGACGTTCTGTTAAAGTATCAAAAACAGATCTAGAAATAATATTGTCGGACTATCAAAATAATCATATATCTCACAATCAGTTAAAATCCAACTTGACCGGTGGAGAGTTAAAGCGTATTATTATTACTTGGATCGTATCATATTATTATTTAAATTGTTCCATTACAAAATTAAATTGGCTTAAGGTGAAATACCTTAGCATTATTAATCAAAACAAAGTTGATACTTTTTTCTCTAAAATCGTAGCCTTCTTTAAACCAATAAACATAATTACAGTAATAAAATTACTGTGATGAGGGAAAATTATAGATATATAAGATATTCCGCATAGAGATCTATCACGTTTTGATCTTGCTAGTGTTACCTTCAACTTTTTGACCATCGACCTCGAGAATGAGCTGTCCGACTTCGAGGCCACCAGCTTCGTAAGCTGCTCCGTTGTCCTGCAACGAATTACCGTATGCGTTAGTCATGTTTATAGCGTAATATTGTTTATGCCACCGTAAATGGCGTCGACGATAAATTCGCCCGCGACGCATATTAATCGCGCGTTTCGCTCAAGCCAAGCTTCATTTAAATTAAGCGCTTGGCATCATAAGTAACATAAAACATATATTTTGTCATAATGTATTTCATTAAGAAGATTAAGAAAATGTTAATTGACATCATTAGCATACCCTATTTTTGCGCATAATTATTTATGTAGAGTAAGCTAGATATGTGAGAAAGAGATTTGCACATCTAATATAAAAAAAAATATTCTTTTTAATTTTTATGACCAAGTATATCCCGATAATGTTACATCTTTAATTATTAAATGCTTAAAATAAACTACAAAATAAGAATGTATTCTTATTTTTTACTGTAATTATGTTTCATCCTTTGAAATATTAGCTTTGTAATTTTTAAATAGGTAAACATAATTACACTAATAGAATTTTTTCTAAAGTATAGATAATTATGCCCTATAAATTATTAACTCTATACTTCATTTGACTCTAATTCCTTTCTAATATTTTTCTAATTTCGTCCTAAAACTATTTTAATCTAACTTTTTTCTGACTCGACTTTTCTTAGCCTCACTTTCACTCTAACTCAGCAATCTGTAATTTTACGCTAAATTTCCTATATATATACATTCTCTCTGATATACCCCTTCTTTTATTCTTGTTCTAAATTAACGTTTTCCAACTTCGTTCTGGCTTCCCTCTGTTCCAATTTTCTTTGTTAATTCTACTTTTACTTTTAATTCAATATCCCATGGCTTTGCTTCAATTTTTCCTTTGATCCAATATTTGCCAGCTTTGCCCTAATTTATCCTACGTTACATCCTAACTTCTATGTTGGATAACCTGCCAGAGATAGCTTCAAAACTATCAACCAACCCACACACATACACAATCACCTTTTTCATCTGACAACTTATGCTACGATTTATTGGTGGGGCGAACATTAAAAATCTTTGCATTCCAAAAGTTCTGAAGATCTCTTTATGCATAACATGTCTATGTTTTTGGTTATAACCGATTGTATATACATTTTTAAATACGAGAAATTATTTATATCCAATTTAAAGTGTGAAAGTTGATGCAATCAAGGAAAGACACATAGAAAGATATCATTTTATTGCTAAGAAAAATGATTATTCAATTTACTTTCTTTCTTTTAAGTAACGATTATTTTTAACAAAGAATTTTTTTGATAATAATCTTAAAATTTATTTATTACAGATTTCAGAAATATTTATTGGTATATACCATATACTCAAAAAGAATTTATTTTCTTTTGAAGAATGTTATAAAATTAATCGAAGAAACAACTTTATATAGTAAACAAATTGTTTTAATTTAATAATTTTAATTGGAGATAGGACTCAAGATTTTGAATAAATTCTTGATGCTTGTTATAAACTTATTTGCAGATATGTGAACCTTTGAAATACTTGAAAGTAATTGTTCTTTGCGTACAGTATGTATTTTTCTATATACACTGTCAAACTCACGTGTATATTAATGATCCGGGGCAGTGGGTGCTTGGTATTGGCGCCGCCCTCGATGGCAATGCCTAGAATCGACTTGGTCTTTTTCACGGTGATCCGCAGATTGCCCTGATGATCGGGCACCACCAGGGCGCCGTCCTCCTCCCGTCGTTCCGACATCTCGCTGCGAGTCAATCGCTGCACGCTGTGATGCCGCCGCGGCGGGCCTCCCGCGGTCCCACCCACGACGGACCCGCTGCCGGAGCCACCCTCCTCCAGCAGTTGCGCTTCCTGCATGTCGAAGCTCCGCGAGAGCTTGTGTGCGAGCTCCTGGAACGGGCACAACTTGCATTCGAACGGCGGTAATCGAACATCAGGCCTCATCTCCAGCCATTTCGCCGGATACGCGTCAGCAATTACCAAAAACTCTTTAATTGTGTTTTCATCATATCGTGAAACTTTGAAACATCATATATTGCATTATCATGTTTCAAAGTAAATTTAATAAATATATCAAGTAGGTATTAAAATCTTGAAATTATGAAATTTCCAAGTTCTTAATTTCCTTTTTAATTGCACATTTCATTAAAAATAAAAACATTGCAATTTTAATAAGATATAATAAACTCCCAAGTTTTATTTAAATAATGAAATTTTTTGAATTGTTTTAAATAATAATATTACGATATTTGAGATTTACGTTAATTATTTTTTTACTGTTTTTGCGATATAATAAAATTACTATTTTACGTACACAGAAAAGGACGCATTGAGATTCTTTCCATTCTTTTATGAATTTCATAAATTAAACGTAGTTGCTGTCGCGTACCCAAAATATCATCTCAATGTACACACACACACACACACACACACACACACACGCACGACGACACAGCACATAAGAGCTAAAAAGGCTTATGCTAGCATATTCGCGTGCACGCTGCAGTGGAAGAGCGTTCTGGTAGTCTTCACGCAGCTTCCGAGATACAAGTATCGTAAGATATCTGTGTGCAAATAATTTACAAGTTCTCGTAATATATTAAAACACATCTCTCCGCAAGAGATATTCCGAGCATTAATTCGAAGTAAATGCAAAAGTACTGATCGGAAGCTAATAGAGTAAAGGGTATTTGAAACGGATGCATATATAGACTACCGTTCACAAATTCGGGAACATCTGCAATTTTCTTGCATCTCATGAAAAATTAAATTTAAAAAATCTTTTTAAAATTTTGAAAAAATTTATACGAATCGAAAAAATTATAACAAAAAGATTTTTCATGTTTCTTTTTTCCATTAAAAAAAAACTAATTTTAAAGTTAGAAAGTAAAAATGAGTTTTTATACAAGAAATTTATTACAAAAAATCATCGTGTACTAATTCTTTTAAAAAATCATTTAAAACTTAGAAAGTCTACTTAAATATTTTGTTATTAATTTTTTTCTGTGAATGTTTCATTAAGCTATAGCACTCCAAAGTAAGATAAAATATTTAAAAAATCAATCTTTGATTTTTTAAATATAATTTAGGAACAAAACATCATACAAACAAATTAAAAACTTCTCTACACTTTTTCTTTTTTTTCACCAAGATACTCAACTTTCCGTGAGATGTGAGAAAATTACAAGTGTTCCTAAACTTAAGAACAATAGGATATATATAAATATGTATCTTTTCTTTTCGAAATACATTTTATCTATCCTCTCGATGCTTTCTCATTTCACATGCCTTATCTAGCGTGCTAAAAATGAAATGGGAATAACAGCGATGAAATGGAAAAATATACTTTAATTAAATATATCTATTCTTTGTCATTTCAACACGGATTGCAAATCTTTAGTAAAAAGGTGGTATTCCAATGCAGGGAGACATGTTAACAGTAATTAGGCAATTTAGACTCGTCTCACTTTTAATTTCATCAACAAATTTAAACAGATTTAATCGTAGAGAAATAAAGAGGCATTTCGGTGAATAACATACAATAATAAAATTCTGCAGCTTTCCCGTTTTCCTTGCATTCGATACGGTTCTATTGTTTCCATTCCGCTTTTCCTTGCGTGCAACATTACGTCACCTGTGTGCATGTATGTGAATTATATGTGCTGAAAGACGCAAGCATATAATGTACACATACGTGAAAGTACACGGCTATATATGTTGATATGTATTAATATATATACGTATAGATCACAGGAATATATATCGAAAAATTGAGTCACATGCTTGCTGATGGCAGGCTGGTAGCAGTCGAGTGTTGGTGCTCGGAGAGAGAGAGAGAGAGAGAGAAAGAGAAAAAGAGAGTGGTAGTTGTGGTGTGGTGGTGGCGGTAGTGTTGTTATCACAACTAATTGCCGCTATATTTGTGACCGTCAGCGCTGGTTTCGCTTATGACCGGCTTACCGTAGTCGAATGCGCAGCAAAAAACAGCACATCGATAACAGAGACGTTTCCAATCGCGACATTGTCGTCATAGCGAATGGCCAGCTAACAAATTGTGCAGTTTATTTGTACGGCTAATTCTGACAATTCTAACGATGCCGCTAACAAAATAAGAGCAATTATTGGGTCTTTTCTATATCGATTAAAAAATTGTTCCGTTGAAAATAAGAGAGATCAAACTGATTGGAGAAAAAAGTACGTAATAATAGGAAACACACACATATTGTCATCAAAGTGTGAAGGATATAGAGCGTAAAGTACGTCAAATCTGTACACCCAGAGAAAAGTATTTGATATTTATGACTGTAATTGCATGGTAAAGCAGTTACAGTTAGGATATCCATTTTTTTAGTTAGTATTACTTTATAATGTTAGTGATGATATTTATCGTGATATATATGTAAAATAATATATACTTGACACTGAAAATGATTATTATAAATAATTTTTCGTGGTCAACTTTAATTTTACATTTATGTAAAAAATTAAATAATAATTATTATTCTTACTGAATTTTATATATGTATATGTATATAAAATAAAACATAGCTGGCCATCGAGAATCACTATATAGTTTATAATTATTTTCAGAGTGAATTATATATATTTTTAATATAAAACTATAAATATTTTTATTAACATTTTATATAGCAGTAATAACTATAAATGGAGTTTTTAATTATCACTTTTTACCATGAAATTATTGTCACGAATACCAAATATTTTTGTGCTTGTCAATCTAGGTATTACTGAATTGATAGAAAAGTATTTACAACATGCTAGGTAATAGAAAAGACCCTAGTTATTTTTTTTAGCTATTCATGAGACTTGTTTGAACTAACACTTGACAATCATGCAGTTGGGGCGACAATGATCGAGATACTCGTTTCAAAAATTACTATGCAATATGCATAATCGCTATGAATTTTATTTGTATGAATTTTTCTAGTCTGTATACTTCGATATAACAATTATAAAATAAATTTCGATAACTTTTAGGTGAGGTTCTCAACAAATTACATGATAAGTACAATAGAAGGTACACTATTTTTCTACTAAATTAAACTTGAATCAACGCTATAGGAAGCTCATTTATTGAACTGTAATTAATTAAATCAATTATGCTAAATTAGGTAGACTAATATCGTAGTTTTTATTGGGGGGATGAAAGTTTAACTGGATCTCATGTACAAATTTACTAGATCGAAATATATATTAATGCTACTATTCTAGCGAAAGTAATTAATTTTTAACATTTTTTTATCAGTCACTTAAATTACCGAGTTCACGGCCGGAAGGCGCAAAGATCGAGTTAATTAGATCAGCTTGTTTTCTCGAGAGAAATGTAAAGCGAGAACAGTGAAAGTGCGTCCATTCGATGTGCAGCGAGATACGCGGATACACGCACGTGCCCACGCCTGCACGCATGTCGGTACAATAAGTTTTGCTCTTCCCACATGGCGTCTTACTCGATTTTTTCTGCCCGCGAAAGAAAGTTTCTCTTTCTACTTAATACAGCCACTCACGATTTTCGAACTTGCACAGGAAAATTTACATTCCAGACCAAAAGGCTGAATAAAAGATAATTGACATTTTTTTAATTACTTATTCAAATATTTATAGTAACGTATTTTTTAACAATAATTTTTTAGATTCGATAACTGTTATTCGATTTGAAAAATGATTGTTTTGAGAACATATTATTATTTGAGTAAGTAATCCTAAAAATGTCAAGTTCTAAGAAGTGTTTCCAAACTTTTGACCTAGATTTCCTTGTTTTTCGTAAAATTTTATATTTCTTATTTTACGTTGTCATCCAAATTGACACGCGTAAAAATAGATTAGTCTTGAATCAGACAAGATTTCTCGCCTGTATTTGAACAAAAACGATCACTTTCTCCCGCACTTTGACAATATCTTCCTTTTCTCGAATATAATTAATTTCTTTTATGGATGTATTTCGTAAAAACCGTGTTTATTAACAAATCGACTGGGAATTTAATATCATTTTATAGCTCGATCATTTAAGTAATTAAAATATGTAATTATACTGAAACCATATCTCGTGAGGTTTCTGTTTTGCTAAATCAATTCTGGTTCTTATGTGAGTAAAATGATGGTGCATGCCAAGACATCTATGTGAATATGTTAGCGCATATACATCCCCGTGCCCGTAAATACGTGTATATATAGAATGTCTCACCCAATCAAGTTTCAATTAGAGATTAACTCGGCGACGAAGTTAAAGACAACTCGTTCAACGAAGATTTCGCAATGAGAGGAGATTATTTCGCATCGCAGCTATTTCCAGCAGCTGTTTCGCAATTAATCATTGTGTTTCGCAAAACTTTGATTAAAAGGAAACAGAAGTTAGAGAAACAAAGACGTAAATCTACTTCACAAAAGAGAAAATATTCTATTACTTTTCACTCTCTTGAAGTGCAGTAAATATCGTGATAACATCTTGTTTCGCAATTTATTTCTTTTTTTAAATATTTGTTTCCATCATCTCCGTTTTTTTTTTTAATTTTCCGTGAAATTCTCACGAGCGTAAAACTGACCTGGGATTTCATCAAGCCTGCAATCCGACACGAGGAAGATGAGACGCTCTGTGTATATACGTATAATTGTAAAATAGTGATCGTGCTAGAATGTAAGGACAAATCGTAAAAAAGTAGCATGTGCAAGACATCTAAGATAAAAAACACGTACAACACCTAACGCTATGTCGACTAAACTCACTAGCTCTAGGAGCACAAGGATACTTGATCGTATGGTTGTATGTGAGAGAGAGAGAGAGAGAGAGAGAGAGAAATCTAATTAGGAACAGAACTCATGCCGAAGGGAGCAGACGTTTCCGGTAGCTCTCGAATCGCACCGTCGCGCAATTTCCGCCGCGTCGTTTACCTGTGCTGTTTATACCATTAATTTTTACCGTGCTGTTTATCGCGAACCATTGTTGTCGCTTCGCATTTTAACATGATAGTTATTTACAAGAAAAGTTAAATAAATTATCACGATAATTAAATAAACTGTTCCGGCAATTTTCTGACAGTTTTATCGCACAATTGAAACGATCTATCAATTAATTGTATTTTTTCCGTTAAATTTTTGATAATTTATCATGATTTTTTACTGTGTCATTTCCACGTAAACGTGACCCGGATATTTCAAACGCAATCGACGTTACTGCGAACCTCGCCGGAAGTTTACGATGTCTCGTTGTTTCAGGATAATATGATTTTTATTACGAGGCTTTATTAGCAGTGCAGTCCTCTTCCCTCAGTTATTTTCTCTTGCCAATTATATTTTGCTATAACTTACAATTTGATTCTAGTACGGCTATTCATGCGGAAAAAGAAACTTGTAACTTTGTTGGAAACTGATAATTTTATATGAAGTAAATTTCGTGTTCCTTTTACATAACGTAACAGCAAGTGACGTAATAATGAGTAACGGTAAAGGAAAATTCTGAAATAAAAGAATTTATGAATTATTAAAAGTAAATGTATGAATTTAAATGTATAAATTTTTTTAAATATTAGAGAAAATTCTATGAATTATACTGTAAAAATAAATTTTTAGAAATATTAAAGGAAATTGAGATAAATTATTGGATAAATATAAAAAAAGAGTATATAAATTAAAATTTGCGAGTAAAAAACAGATTGTCTTTTATTTAGCAAAAAAATATGATCATGATATTTTTTTACAAAAAAGTAAATTATTTAGAAATAATTCGCGATGGTAATTATCACTATCCGTTGTGATGTCACACGATGTTGAATACGTTTAGCAACTCAGATTACCAACTCGATTACGATTTCGCGTTGTATTGTAATTTTTTCGCGGAGATGTTATCGAGATTTCCGGCGAGATTCAAATGGGGTTTTCCATGTTTCCTCGCTCCGACACGAAAATTGCTGCTCGTCGCTGATTGCACCTACTCCCTTTCGATGGAGGCATAGTCGATCATTAAATTCACGTCCTAATCTTCACAAGGGCGCCCATAAAAGACGGAGCGTATAAACTGTTTTCCAAACAATTCTTTTAAGCAAAGGACTAAATATTGAGATTAAAAATAAAAAAAAAAACTAAAGCTAGAAAGTAAAAACGGAAGTTAAAAGTAAAAGAAATCAAATTAAGAATTATAATATTAAAACGAAAAAGAAGGATCGAAGTAGATAGAATCTTAATTTGGATTTAAAAAATGATTATAATTACAAAAAAGTCTTTATCCAGAAAAATCCAGCATACATTTCTATTATTTTAAATATTGAATAAATCAAAATTTAAAAAAATATAGAAATTAGGCAATTAAACTGTAACACCGCATATTGATAAAACGGAACAATATTAATATTATATATTATACATATATTCTAATATTTGATATGTAAAATGTATTTTTTACTGGAGTGTATATATAAACGAGACTGACGTATCTTCTAAAAGTATCAAACTTAATTTTCGATAAAAACTTCTCAGATGTTCTTTCCGATCCATTTTTCTCTCCTTTCACGGATGCCCTTGCCCTCTCACCCTTTCGCGAGTCTGTGCGAAGTGCCATGTGGCGGCGGAGAGAAATTGGAATCGAGAGGGATAAAATGAAAGAAGGAAAGGGAAAGTGAAAAGAGAAAGGAGAGATAAAAAGAAACCGTGCTTATCGAGAGAAAAAGAGAGTAAGAGATTGCGATTCTCGCTGGATGGGAAAACTTACGAGGGGCCTGGCGCCCCAGTACCAGGATTTGACACGTTGCGTTAGTCCACCGAGCAGGTGGGACCTCCAACCACCGAAACCTCCACCACCTCCTCCACTCTCCGAGCCCCTCTCCTCCCTGCTCTCGAGCTCGTCATCCTCCTCCAAATCGCGATTCCTGTCGCCAGCGCCCCGTCTCCCGTTACCGATCATCTCGGCGTCGCTACCCTCGCAACCCCCATCGCTCTCCTGCGTCGCGACGTCCGCGTATAACACAACCGGAAATGCCTCATGTTAGCGCCCGTTCCGTCCCTTATACTACTAGTTTACGCGAATATTGTGGACGGTGTGAATTCCAGTGTGATTGGTAATTACGTTGAATTGAGATAAGTGATCGTAAAGCCGATACTTCATGTATTGTACGACAACAAGGCTTTCCCAGCTGCGATTGGTTGCAGGACAGGGAGGTTCTTGAATCTTTCTGTCCTACAGCCAATCAAAATGCGTGAAAAGTTTGTTGTACGATACTTAAAATATAGATAAGTGTGTGAGAAAGATATGATTCAGGAGGCCAAATCATGTAACGTTTTTCTTAGGGCTAAAAATGAAAATTTTTATATGTATGTGTATATATATGTATGTATGTACGACATACATAAATACCAATTTTCACTTTTTATATTTCCGCTCCAAACAAAAAAATTACATGATGAATACTCAGAGGTCGAATTAACCACAGAAGAAATCTATAGCAGATAAAAATCTGTGCACTGAGAGAAAAATGTTTGGTATTTGTGACTATAACTACACAGTAAAATAATTATGGTTAATAGTAATTAAGAGAGCTCCTTTTAGTTCTTACTGCTATATTGTTAATAATAATAATTAAGTTCAATATATAATATAAGAAAATTAAGTATCGATTTATATGGGAGGACTACATACGCAGTATGTAAAATTCACACATAATTATAATAAGCATTGTGATCCAGCTTTGACCGTCATTGGCTTCCTTCTTCTTGTTGTTGTTTATCATTGTCCTAAAAAGATTTTAATATTTGTTAAAATTAAGTACCTATAGAGTTGGCTATGAAAATGACTATAATTTATAATTGTTTTTGTGGCCAACTACATTACATTTTTTATATATAATAGAATTATAAATATAATTATTATTACTAACATTACTGCAGTAATAACTATAAAACTTAGAGCTAATAATTATTTAATCATGCAATTACAATCATAAACATCAAACATTTTTTTCTCAGTGTGCCTTAATATCAGCATAATTTTCCTTAGAGAGATTTCTAGGGTAAATAATAATAATTATTATTAATTAAATCTAATAAATTATGCTCTATCTTTTCGTCTCTTTTTGTCTTTTTTTTTTCTCAAGTGGTAGAATAACGTTAACCGATATAAGCCGGTATTTATAGTTGGATCTTGTGTTTAAGACCGTCTTAATTACAGTCTTAAGATGTCATGAACCAATCAAAGAGCCGTATTAACTTAAGACATTACTTAAGACGATCTTAAAGTAAGAACGGACTATGAAAATCGCCAATACTGACGTTTAATAGAAACTTGATCACTGTATTATTTTTTGACGTTATTCTATTACTTGATTTTTTTTATTCGCTACACTGAGAGAAAAAGATGACTGCAATTACCACAAATTAACTATAATTTATAGTTATTTTTGGTGGCAACTATATATTTTTTTATGGAATTATACATAACTATTATTATTAATATTATAGCAGTAATAACTATAAAAATGGAGTCTGTAATCATAATTATTTTATCATGAAATCATAGTCACTGCATTTCTCTCAATGCAGCATAATTCAAAAATTGCATTGGATCTGTAGGATACTGTGGATACTGTAGGGTATCTTTGTAGTTTTTTAATGAGATTAATCGTATCATATTCTCCTCGCTCTCCAAAATTATAAGTAACAAACTCAATCAAACTCATCGAGAAAGTACAAAGGGACTGTACACTTTTGCCTTGTATACGTAGTTAGCCTTATTCGTTTTATTCTTAGTTGTGCCTGACTGTTGAGCTAATTTCCTGTCTAAAAACCAATCTCTAGTTTTCTTATCTCGTTTCTTTTACTTTCCTTGGGCAGCCACAGTAATTTTTCGCAAATGTGCAATTTCTCACAACAATTCTGCACGAGGTTCCTTAACATCTCTATTATATTTGTGCATTTTATTCTTCTCATTTGTATGTCATATAAAATGATATTTGGAGCAACTTTTTTCAATTAACGACGTTTACCTTGTTGCGTTAATCCAAGATTCAGAAAACTGACGCGTTTTTTTTCTGTTTTAAATTTTTATAATTCAGATTCTAATACAAATTTTTAGATTATAATTTGTTATTTAGGAATAAAAAGAGCTACTTTTTTGAAAATCTAATTGGCAATAGAATAGGATATTTAAAAAAAAGATATAAGAGTTGGAAGTAGAGATAAAAAGAGTGACTCTTGTCTTTATATATATATATATATACTGTGTGATGAATATTCAGCTAATAAATGATTATATCTCTCTTTAAAAGAAATAAATTGATGTCATTATTATTTGAATAATTTATATAGCCAGTAAAAAAAGGAGTCATTTAATCTATTTACCTCTAATTTTGTTTACCTTTAATTTTTTTTAGACATCCCATGACATTGCCGATTAGATTTTTGGAAAGATCAACTCTTTTTAAATACTAATTGCGGTATAAAATTTTTTATTAGGATTGAGTATAAGAGTTTAAAACAAAAAAGATCGTATGAGTCTCTTGGGATTTATATCCATTTTCATCCATGTAATTTAACTTTTATCTTTACAAAAATTTTTAATAATTTCAATTCTTAGAACTAGAAAAGGATGAAAAGTAAATTAAATCGAGATTAAAGTTAATCTACATTGGTTGAAAGCTAAGAAAGGGTAAAGAGTAAGTTGAGCCGAGATTAAAGTTAATCTATATTGGTTGAAACTTTAATGGATTAAACAAGTTTCTGACGTTCAATATACCAGTCTCTCTATAGAATCGCGATCATGCAAGAAGAACGATACTTAGAAAGTGCGGTACAGTAATCGGACGGTCTCTTTGTAAAGCGATCGTGGGACCTACATGATCGACACGCTCGCGTTTATGATCGTTTTGTGCGGGGACGCGTAACGGCGCGCAGGTGGGCCTGATTGTTGCCGTCTTAACTGGAGCACGTCCCCCTAGCTACGAAGGATCGCATGAAACCAGTTATATAAATTGTTTAAGGATCGTTTCATAGTGTTTCACACCAGACTGTAATTTGCTCAAAAAACCACATTTCTGTGGCGAAACGATTAACACTGGAAAAGAAAGTAGAAACCTTTTAAGATCTACCCGATCGTACCTCGACAAAATTTTATTCGTTGCAGAATTAAGAATTTTGTATTGTACAAAAATTATTTTTCATAATATTAATAATTAATTATTTTAATAATTTCGATACTGAAGATGGTTTGATAAAGTCGTCTGAGAAACGTTCGTATATATTTACAATATTTGTCATACAATGTTCAGCATTAAAATCTAGTTTAATTTGTTATTATTTAATTTTTCATAATTTTATTTTTTATGATAATAAAATAATTAAATGAGGGCAATGAAAATAATAAATTCGCGTAATTAGTATGCTGTTAATAATACTATTAATATTAATACTATTACATATATTGTATTATATTATTATAATTACTACAACGATATGATGCAAACTATCTGAGTTTGTACAATACAATTTACGAGTAATCAACTCTCCACAACTTAAAACGTACAAATATGTGATATAATATTTTAAATTTAATAAAAGAATTATTGTAATTATATACATATCAATATAAACTGTATATTTGAATTTCGAGAGCTCTCTGCTATCTATTATTTTAATGTTTTATTTTTTGTGTGTATTGTATAAATAATTTTATATGAATATTGCATCTTTTGTATCGCATATCATTTTCTCTTTTTGTCAATCCTTTTACATATAAAAAACATATTAAAACAAATATCAGGTAGTAGATGATCAGTGAAAAATCAATTATATATTTAAAATTAAGAGAAATGTGTGTAAAAAAAATGATACACACAATTTATCATTAGAGATATTAGGCCTCCTAATAACTGTTTCTTGCTCTCATGTCAGATCATTTTTATTTTATTTAAAGCGATAGACACGAACTCATCAGCTAACGTGCATAAATAACTTGGGCCCATATTTTATCAGTTATTTTTCTGCTGAGAAACTTAACTGAAACTAATTTTGAGTCGTCGAACAGTTCAATTTATATTTTGAGAATTAATATTTCAATTGCCAACTTCAGCCGGCAATTTTGTTATTCTAAATCCAAATCACGTATTTTCGTGGTCACCTAGTAACCTTAGTCGGCAGCAGGAAATAATAATCATTGCCGGTTATTAATGGGACCGCCATCGTTGCCGGCGCGTCGCGCCGTACTGGAGAAAGTTTCGGGACGACGACGTTCCGTTATGTACGCGGAACGAGGATCACGTAGAACAAACGCGGAGCCTCGGGTGGTCCCCGAACCGGAGTCCCGAGGAGGAAGACCGGTGTTTTACGATTTTACGATGTAGGTCAATTGTCGCGGCGTTCAATGATTCCGCGGTCAGTCGGAGTTGATCGGAGGTTTCGTTCTTGGAAAAGTCGGGAGTTAGCTGAACAACCGGTCATTCCTGTTCTTTTCATCCAGGAATTGGCGGAACACGATATTTCTCTGTTAGTGGACGTGACGTTTATCGGGCAAGCAAAACGACACGGTCGTAGCAAAAAGCTTTGTTGCTTGCCGTGTCTTAATTCACAAATAGTAATTAATAAGAAATATGTATCAATTTTATCAGCTTATGCAATTTTTCGCAATAAGATGTCAAAAAGAGCATCAATTAACTATTAAATTGTTAATCAATTTAATTCGTGATAGCACTACGGTAGATTACTAGAGTTGTGTTTCAAAACAGACTATTGTTCGGCGCGCAGTTTGGAAAGACTATACACATACCAGTATATAAATTCACGCGAAATTATACATAAGTATTTTATATATAATTATATATAAGTAACTAAGATCCAAGCTAGACTGTTATATAGTAGGCTTCGTATTCGTATTAGTTATGCAATTTTATTAGAGCGGCTGATAATATCGAAGCAATAAATAATTAATTTTTTTATTTTTGTTAATCTCCATGG